CAACCTGTAGCTGTGCCTGGGATTGCTCCGACCCAGGTGTAGGACCTTGCACTTGGCATGGTTAAACTTCATAAGGTTGGCATCATCCCACCTCACAAGCATGTCAGGGTCCCTCTGGATGGCATTCCTTCCCTCCAGCATATCAACCGAACCACACAGCTTGGTGTCATCAGCAAACTTGCTCAGGGCGCACTCAATCCCACTGTCCATGTCAGCGATGAAGATGTTGAATAAGACTGGTCCCAGCATTGATCCCTGAGGGACACCACTCATTACTGGTCTCGAGATGGGCATTGAGCCATTGACCACAACTCTTCGTGTGCGGCCATCCAGCCAGTTCTTTGTCCATCGAGTGGTCAATTCATCAAACTGATGTTTCTCCAATTTAGAGACAAGGACATCTTTTGCTAATTTGCATACAGGTAGGGGTGCTCAAAAAGAAATATCTGCATTCCCCAAAGCTTTTGTTATGCAAGTACACGCCACCAATGTAAAATGCCATTGTGTGACATTTGTATCACTAAATATCCTATTTTGTGTTGGGGAGAAAATGTTTTGTTTGTTTTTTTTTCCAGATGCAGAGCTTGATTTCTAAGTTATTTCCTGGCTTTCTTTCTAACTGAAGAAAGGATTGTGGGGGTGACAGGCAAACTGGAAAGTCTTCAAGGCTCAGACTGACATGTATAAATCATATGTGTGAGCTTCAGTCAATCCCCTAGAAATGATTTTCCCCCAGGCTGGATTGGTGGGCATCCCTGTTTGCTTTTGTTGCCTTTTTTTTGTTTGTTTGTTTGCTTCAGCAATGTGGGTCATAACCAGCTTCCTGGGATTGTCTGAACATTTTCACTTAGTAAACTTAGTGCCTGTGCACTGAAACATCTATTTACACTCTTCCTCTGGTGCACTGTATTTTATATGTTTTTCAGTCTGTTGTACTAAAAGCATTCAATGGAGTGTTGACAAGCATTTTGTGGTTTATGGCTTGGTAAGGGTAGGAGATGGTCATCCATTAGATTCCTCTAGGCAGAAATGTCCATAGCATGACTACTGGTGGTTGTTAGGGACTGATCTGACTAGTCTCTGCCTATAGCCTCCCCCACAAAGAGTTACTTTCTTATAAGAACCTTATAGAAAATATATTTTAATAGTGCCTTGCAGAGTTACACTTTCAAATTTCAGGGAGTCAAGGCCATTGCCCCCACTCTTGGAGCTACCATTTTAAAATAAAAGTGTTTTTTAATTCTGGGTGATGCCCCTGTTACATCTTTTTTGCTCCTGTTCCAGAGGAGAGACTGTTTTGCACATATGTCTTGATGGGGTTTTTTTGCCTTGATTTGAAAGGGTGTCTTACCAGGTGCTTTCTCTTGTCAGGTGCTTTTATATGCACCTACTTTCTTTTCCTGGCAATTGTCTCAAGCTAGTAGCAACTCCTAGGCTGTCCCTCTGCCGATGTAAGTGAGCTTTCCTGAGTTTAAGCCTAGAGTTGAACAGAAACAGCTCTATTCTCTTCAGTCCTGTGAACTTTCATCAGTTGATCAGTTATTATTTCCTGTTGTCAAAGGAAGCAATAGAAAAGCTTTGAAATTATGTCGCAGCTTTTCCAAAGAACAATTTCCCTCTCCTCCCCTAGCCTCTTTCTGCCTTTCTCTGTATATTTGGTAGTACATCAGCTTTCTCTTGAAACGATCCCCAATAGAGCACTTCAGCTATTTCAACCACGGTTTTTCTGAAGGTATTTTTTTACAAACTAGCTTCTGCAGCAGAGTTTAGTTATAATGAAGAACAATAAAAAAAAATCCTTATGCCTTGGAGAGCTAGTCTTGTACACACTAATGCATGTGGTGAACTCTATGCCTGAAATATCCCCACTGGACTCAGTCAGTTGCACTGTTTGAACACACAGAGTTAAGCACCTGTGTAAGTGCTGCCAAGGTAATGGCTTTAAATCTCAGTAGAAGCTAAAAAGATGTGCACTGCAGTGCAGAAGTGGCTAAACCAGCTCACATTCATTGTCCTTTTATTTTCATTATTATTATCTATGTTATAATATAATGAAGAGAAAAGCAATGATTTTCCAAAGAATTTCATCACCTCACTCCAGTACTTGTCATCACTTTGATCTGGGCAGGATATTCAGGAAATGTGTGGTCTGGGCAATTTTCCAGTGATGCTGAGAATATCTGATATAACAGAAGGCACCAAGAGCTACAGGATTTAATCCTAGCACAGTTTTTCAGATTAATAAATGACAACCAAAATCTCTTCAGAGTTAGTTTCTTGCTGTTACTGTAATATTGAATTCAGGCTTAGTCTGCTCCATTTTTTCTCTTTGATGTAATTGCCTAGAAAATCACGGAACAATAGTCTATGAGTTGACAGGATTTGAAATGTTTAGGGGTTTGAAAAGAAGAACCAGATAAGGCCTGTTTCAGGAGTTGGACTAATGGCCAGCCTGCAGTGCAAATGTCTTAAGTGAGGTGCTGTCATCAATACACTATCTCAGAGGACAAGTTATTCTGCATGGAGCTGTTCACAGCATGTGAGTGGAGCCAGAGCAGCCTGTCTTGGTGGCCCAAATCTTCAATAAATCAATGGAAATCCTCGCATGGCCAGCATATGTTCAGTGAACTTCACAATTTTTACAGCCTTTCTGTACAAAGCTTCATGGTGAACTGAACAATGACTTAGGATGCAATAGGCTATTCACAATATCACAGGGTTTTCCTGGAGGCATTGTTAATACCAGTGCACCATGCCAACCCAGAACAGCTAAAAAAAGGGATGCTTGGAAGGCTGGGAGGACATTTGTTCACAGGAACATACAGTGTCAATGAATTGTGCAATGGGAAGTCTGCAAGCATGGATCGTTCTGGGTACTGAATAAAGTGGAGGAGAAACAATTCCTCTCAGAGCTTTTGTTTCAAAGTCTGAGCATCTTTTGGCTGTCATCATAATTTTCAGTTGCTGCTTTTTAAGATGTGTCTGGAAACAAAGAACTTAAAAAATATGGGTTTCAAGGGTAGAATGAAAAAGGGTGGAAGACTTTATGAAGCACAAGTTAACAGCTTCCAATGTATAACAATATGAGCAAGTTAATAAACACTGAGTGGTAGGTTATAAAATTCCTTTCAGTTATATAAGAAAACAATACATTGTATAAAATCATAGAATAGATAACCTTCCTTTAAAAGCCTCAACAATTTCTTTTTAATGGCAACATAGTATTTGGAAATACTATTTCTTAAATAAACAGTGTCATACCCCTTAACTTAAGGAAATGTACTTTAGTAAGAAGAGTTTCAGCACTTACTTTTCTCCCTCCCCTTTCTCCTTAACTTCAGTGAGGTAGCTCAACATTGGTTGTGATGGAGAAGAAGGAAAGCCAGCTTGGGAGGGACCACATTCCCATATGCATAATACGTCTACTATGATACGGAAATGTTGGTTAAAGAGAAAAATCACTGAAGGATGAGCTAATCATGCTAACTTTTGGGGTGTCATTCAAAATTTATCATATACTTTTCCCAAGTTATCACAGTCTAAATGCTGGGAACTATATTCCGACTAGATCTTGGCAGATTTTGCAATGCTTTTAATGTGAACAAATAGAACACATACAAAGAAGCAGCACACTGAATTTGTACCAATATCATAGACTTTGCACTTCGTTAACACTGTAATTTAAGCTCAGGCTTGGCTCCTGGGTTTTAGCCGCAGAGGCTGCTTGGCATGCTGTGTGGTGTCTGTGGCCAGAGATGAGTTTCATGTGAAACGCAATTGCCAAGAGTGGTGCCACAGCACTGGAGAAGAGTCTAGCTTCAGGGCTCTCCTCAGCCCCTGCATCCCTGGGAAGCAGCCTCTGGTGTCAGATTAGCGGACATTTATTTAGTATCTGTTGTTTGGCTTATGCTGGAGCCTTTCCTTCCAATGTAAAAACTAGAGAAAGTCCTGGAGTTCTTTTCCTGCCGAAGTTCCAGACATTCCAGAAATGCGCTTTCTGCATTGTGTCCTTGGAATAGTCTAATATTAGCCAAGTGCCAGCAGAGTTTCACAGTACCTCTTCTCAGCTGGTGCTGCATCAGAGGGACTGCGAGCTCCAGCTTTCCTCTGGATGCCGTTCCTTCATTCCTGGGTCATGGCATCATCAGTTAATATTAGGCAAGCAGTTAAAAGCAGACATCTGTCTGCAGCTCAGCAATGATTCATCTCCCATTCAAATGGCGTAACAGGTTTATTGGGCCCAGAGGCTCCTCACTGGACACAAGGACCCACACAGGGTTTCAGAATAAGTGCTACAGAATAGGCTGTAACCTAAATATAGAGATTTATATTTGACAGGCTTCAAAATAGCTACAATTAAAAAAAAAAGAATTAGAAATAAAATCTGGACTCTGACTCAAGCTAAATCTTCGATGTAAGCATAGCCATAAATGGGAGTCAACTAAGGCCTGCACAAGGTACGGGATATTATGCTAGCCTGATGCACTTATCTCTCTGATCTTAATCTGAACTACGATTTTTATGATGCAAGTCAGAAGGCATTAATTAATATTAATAATCTACTTTAAAATACACTTAGTGTTAAGATCCGGATAATTCTGCAAACAAATTGTCAAAAAAAATAGTTAAGATCCTTTTACTGCTGTCATTAAAATTGTTCTTTTCTAAGATGCTTGCTTTTATTTCAACACAAGAAGCATTTCAATTTGGGAAGATGTAAATTTCCTTGTCACAGGCTCCATTATGAAAAGAAAACTGCATGGAGATACCAGAAAAAGAAACTCCACTGTTGTCATGGTGACAGCAATTAGCAGCAGTTAAAACAGCAAACAATGGATTTAATGGGTTTGTCTAATAGTGACTTAATTACTTAGCAGTCTAGTTTGTCTATCAGCATTTCAATACACAGGAATAACTCAGTGCTGTGCTCCCACTTAGCATTTTGAGTCTATGCAAGCAGAATTGTAGTAGCATCATTACTATCAATATTTTTGATTCCGATGTGGTGGGAAGGCCAAGGTAAATGCTCTCTAGCAATCCCACTTGAACACCTCCTGTCACACAGCAGAGAGCCTGCTAGACAGAAAGGGGCATTCTGTGCTCATTTTACTGTGATGGTAAAAAAAAAAAAAATATATAAGAATTCCACTACACTTGTATCTCCTTTAATGTAGGTGGAGAATTTCAAGCTATTAGGCCAGTCAAGGACATACATCATGGCTTGTGTCAAAAGTACATTTTCTTTTGTACAGACACTGAGTGTCTGCCTTTCTTTTTCCTCCTCATTACTTCTTCAGGCTGTGGAAATGGCAAATACTTTCGCATGAGTCCTCAAGTCTATAAACTGGGTTGTTGATACTGTTCCCTGTTGGTGGAAGCAGCAGAAAATGAATACCATGAAGTAATGCTATGCCACAGCTTGTGTCTGCCTTATCAAAGTGAGTGCTTCAGTGCTGTACTGTCCATGGCTGGTAAATTCTGCATGCAGCCAATGGCTATAGGCCAGACCTTTAAAAAGTCTAAACCACTTAGGCTGGTATTGTAGCCTTTTCTTGGTCTGGGTTTTTTCAGTGACCAACAGACTATTTTTTAGTTGTGTGGATCAGGTAAATATATATTAGAACAAGAAACCTACATTACTGCAAACTCAGGAAAAAACTGCAAAATGGGTAAGTTAGACATGAACTAAGCTTTATTCTAGTCCAAGCACAGCTAATCTACAATATGCAAAACAGGAGAGGAGAGCCTTGTTTGTGCCTTATCACATGGCATAAATTTGAAATGTTGGTGCTGTCAGGAAGAAGATATAACAAAAGTTGTTTAGGAATACTGAGTGTATTTGAAGCTAGTGTTAAATCCTTCCGCACCTTTCCAAGCAATCAGATTTCATTTCTTGTGAGATTTTTGCGTTTTGCTTAATTGCCCCTTTCAACGTAACTTAATGATGGAGGAGCTACCTGTCTTTGCCACTTGTAAAGCAGACACTGAATGGTAGCTTTAGCCTTTGCTTTTTTCTCGGTTCTTTTGAGAGTTCTTTTGCTTTGGGAGTCTTGAAGTTATCACCTGTTAGAAGTTAGGCATTAAGCTTATACTGATTAAAAGTTGGACAACACTGTAAATAAAATAAATTAGAGTGCTCAGCAGATTTAATTTTCATTTTCTCAACCAAAGGAGTGTGAAGCTCTCTAAGCCTTGTTAAATCAAAGTGAAATGCTAGTACCTCAGATCTGTTGAAGTTAGTGAGTAGCCTGACACAGCCTCTTCTCCATGTCTCAGGTGACCTTTCTTTAATCCCTGAAGGACTTCGTTTTGCAAGTCCAGGTCATTTGACATTTGATAGAAATTTGAGATTTCATTGTTGTCTATGTTGCATCATCGTTACAGGGCTCTGAACCATATTCAGCTACACTGTCTGAAAATATTTCAGTCATGATTTAAGAAACATGACCAATAGCTAGCAGTCCTTATTATTGGGTTTTCACATCCTCTGCACAGATGGAGTAACAACCATTGTGTGCCAAAGGTGATTTGGCATTCTCTGGAAATCCAGGGTAAGGAAGTGAAGGACAAGCCAGATTTGTTGAAAAGGGTATGTAGCAATGTTCAGAAGTTGACTCAAAAGAGTCTGTGCCCCAGGAGTACTTGTGAACAGTCTACAGAAAAGCAAAGTAGCTGGGCCGAGGTTGCTGCTGGCAATGTAGAACTACAGACCTTTCCATCCACAGCAAACTGAAATCCCTGTTTGCATGGCTTCTTTGCAAGAAGCTAGAATCAGGAATCCAACATACTTGTGCAACAGAACTGCGTGGTTATGGACTGTGACCCTTTCGGCATTATAATATGTTTGGAAATTGCAAAGTTATTTCTTTTCATAGAATCACAGAATGGTTGAGGTTGGAATGGACCACCAGAGGTCATCCAGTCCAACCTCCCTGCTCAGCCAGGGTCACCTTACACATTACTGAGCACATCACTCAAGATTGTGTCCAGATGGCTCTAGAGTATCTATTCCAAATAGAATGCTGTCGCCCCCAGAGTAAAGAAGTTCTTCCTCATGCTCAGGTGGAACTCCCTCTGGTTTAGTTTATATCTGGTGCCTCTCATCCTTTTGCCTGGCACCACCGAGAAGAGGCTGACCACATCCTCTTGACACCCTCCCTTCAGATACTTATGTACACTCTTCAGATTACCCCTGAGCTTTCTCTTCTCTAGGCTGAACTCTCCCAGCTCCCTCAGCCTTTCCTCATAGGAATGATGTTCCAGACCCTTAATCATTACAGTAGCACTTCACCGGACTTGCTGCAGGAGCTCCATGTTGCTCGTACTGAGGAGCCAAGAACTGGACACAGTGCTCTAGGTGAGGCCTCACCAGAGCTGAGTAGAGAGGGAGACACGTCCCTCTGTCTGCTGGCAATGCTCTTCCTAATGCAGCCCAGGATACCATTGGCCTTCTTGGCCACAGGAGAGCATTGCTGCTGGTTCATGAACAACTTGTTGTCCACCAGGACCGTCAGGTCCTAGTCTGCAGAGCTTCTTTCCAGCAAGTCAGACCCCAGCCTGTACTGGTGCATGGAGTTATTCTCCCCAGGAGCTTGACCCTGCACTTGCTATTGTTGTATTTCAGAAGGTTCATCTCTGCCTGTCTCTCCAGCTTGTCTAGATCCTTCTGAATGGCTGCACAGCACTCTGGGATACAGCCACCCCTCCAGTTTTGTATCATCAGCAAACTTGCTGAGGAGGCACTCTGCCTCCTCATCCAAGTCACTGATGAATAACTTGAACAATACTGGCCCCAGTATTGACCCTTGGGGGATACTGATAGTTACAGGTCTCAAACTAGACTCTGTGCCACTGGTCATAACTCTCTGAGCTCTGCCATTTAGGCAGTTCTCGATCTACCTCACCATCCACACATCCAGCTCGCACTTCCTGAGCTTGCCTATGAGGATGTCATGGGAGACAAGTGTTGAAAGCCTTGCTGAAGGCCACATAGACAGCATTCACTGCTCTCGCCTCATCAATCCAGCCAGTTGTCCCACTGTAGAAGGCAATCGGGTTGGTTAAATATGATTTCTCTCTGGTGAATCCATGCTGATTGCTCGTAATCACCTTCTTGTCTTCCATATGCTTGGAGATTGCCTCCAGGATGAGCCCTTCCACCACCTTTTCAGAAATGGAGGTGAGGCTGACTGGTCTGTAGTTCCCAGGGTCCTTCTTGCCTTTTTTTGAAGGCTGGGGTGACATCTGCTTTCATCCAGTCCTCAGGCACTGTTGCAGTCTTTACCATCACAAACTATGCGTGAACCATAGTAATGATCATGTTTCCTTATTATTGCTGAAATCTGAAATCTTAATGCATCTATCTAGTTCAGAGGCATTATAAAACTTCAAATAATTTGTTGAATTATTATATATTTAGTATACCGTGTAACACTAGTACAGTCCATATATATTATGCTTTGGGGAAGTGTGTATTCTCTTAACCTTCAGAAGACTGTCAAAGGAAGCAAGAAATTTCTGTAGGTGTTCTGGAGCCAGGTTTGTAACAGGAAATACTGGAAGGAGTGTGAGGGCTAAGTGATGATTTTTCCTTGTGCTCAACACCTATTGCGTATGCATATATAATAAAGTATTTTTGCCAGTTTTGTGAAAGGAATAACCTGTACTGCAAGGAACAAATCTAGGCAAACAAATCTAGAAACAAATCAGCAAAAGTTTAAAAATGCTTTCACATGCTTCACTTTCTGTTCAAGGAGACAAGTTTGCCCTATGAGTGTGCAACTCGTTCCATAATATTTTTACCACCTTAAGAAAGAAATTGTACTCATTTTCCCAGTGCATTCGTAGCATAATTTTGTGGTTTAATATCGCCAAATGACAGAAATCATCCCTTTTGCAATCGCTTTATTATTATTAGCATGATGAAGCTATTCCTGTTTTATTAAAAGAAGTCGTATTTCTGCCAGTTGCAGTAGTGGTAAGAGAACTGGCACTCATGTTTCCTCTTTGGCTAAAGAATTGTTGTGAATCATAATGCAGGACTGATTTTTTTAGCATGGCTTTATTAACTCTGTGTTAATAAAATCTTGTGTATGCTGAGATCCTGGACTCTGAGATGGGCAAGGGATAAGATGAAGCTTTTTCTGTGAATTTAGATAAGTAATTTCTTTGCTGCAAATGCAAAGGTGAAGATGTCACATTTTAGACTCCTACTAGGAGTCAGACACTCAAGTCAGTATAGGTATTTTATATTACTGAAATATCCTATCAGAGTCTTCATCCCAGTCGGAAAAAAATAATTCTTGGAATGAAGAGCATCAAATGGCTTTTCTTGGTGTTAATACCAATACGTGAAAATTAACTTCACTTTGTGATCTTTTAGTCATACGGTAATTTAACAGACAAAGTGAGAGGAACCTAAGGGACATAAATGTGTCTAGTCTTCTAATTTACACTGTCCAAGAAAATGGTCTGCGTAATTGCTAATAGCATAATTCTTAAAGTTTACAAGGTAGAAGAGTTTCTTAGGGAAAAAAGGAAGACCAAATAAAAGGTTCAGGAGACTTTCCTTATTAGAAAAGGTTCTGTCTTTATGGTAAAATTAAATTAGATGCTGAGCAAGAAGTAACAAAATGTTAATATCAGATCCTATCAGTGTAGTTCCATTGCACTGCTGTGCCAGTTAATATGGGCACAATGTTGTAATGCCATCGTGACACAGTTTCTTTACTCCATAAAGAAACCTCATATTTCTGTGCAGCCTTGTTTATTTCTGCATAACACTTAGTATTGTCAGATAGGTATATCATCACTACCTGCAGTTCTTATAAATTCTATTTTTCCTAAGGGTCAATCAGGATTACATTCTAACTGGGTTTTTTAACTTTTTCCAACAAAAAGGCATTGTGGGCAGAAAATTACACCCCTTAAAAGAAGCAACATTAAAGGCACAACAAGCAATCTGGCCCAGCAGAATGCAGAGTATAACAAGGTCTGGTATGGCAGCATCAGAAAACCTTAGAAATTGAAAAGAAATTGTCAGAAAATATGACTATCAATAATTACAAGGGATGGTGAAGAACTAAAGTCAGGATGACTATGGCATAGCCTGAATTAGAAATGGGATAAGGTTTAATTAATATATGCAAAGCAAGAGAAAAAAAAAGGGGGGGGAAAAAGACCAAACAGATAATGTGAAGTTGCATTTTTCTTTGGGTTTTATTTTAAAGTTAATAGTAGTCATCAAGTTCATAAAATTTTAACCAGAGGACAAGAGTTTAGACTATTAAAAGAAAGTAATGTCTTAAAGAATATTTAGACAAATTAGGTTACACAAATTGTTAGGAAAACATGAAATTAATCTTAAACTACTGTGAACTAGCAGGTTGTCTTTGAGATTTCCAGCAAGTGAAGAAAACCAAACTTGTTTCCAAAACAGAGAGAAAGGGCATGAAAAGGAAACCAGCCTTAG